TAGTATATCATAAATAAGAGCCCTTTGGAGGCCCCTTTTTATTAACCAATTTATCTTACCGACTTAAGGTGACCAGATTGCTTTCCACAAATCCTTGACTTTATAGAAAGATGGAGGAGTAATTCATATACAAAAGATAAATTCTCATGAAACTCGCAGCTTCTGGTAGAGGGTTCAGAAGCATAAAGCCCATCTTTCAACCACATTAGGCTCAAACTTAAAAATGACATAAACTAAGGTAATGGACGGAGAGAAAGTATCAAATGAAGACAATATTCACTAAGTAAAAATACTAATAATTGGTCGCAGCTACCTGGGAAAGGATTGTTGATAGAACACCCCGAATGAGGTATGATTCTCCCATCATTGTTATGATATTCATAACAAACATTTACCTCTGAAAAAGTATGTCTACCTGATGCAGTTAGCAACGATTTTGTCTCCATATCAACGTGTTCACTGTTTGACTCTTGTTAGATAAGGTGATGGAACAAGGTGAAGGTGAAAATACAGTCAATCTCAGATGCGAATGCCACTCCTGTATGCTGAATTCAGACAGAAAATCAACTATCTCCTTAAGGTAATAACTAATTGCAATGCCTAGCAAAAATATTGTCAATTTGTTTTTAAAAAAGTTCTTCTCAAAACTATAGTTATTCTAAATGTTTAATATCCGCGTGCATGAATTAAATTACACAACGGCGATTACAGAGAGGATAGCAATGCGCTCGGGCAAGGAAGTGCACCTAAATTCAAAAGAGGCTCTAGCTTCATGGCCAACCTCGTGGGAGTGATCTGAGAGGATGTTTCAAAAAAGGATAATAGACATAGTGAATGGTTCATCTCATGTGGATGAATCTACAAATACCCCTTCAGGTGCTTGGATATTCATATCATCGAAAAAATTCACGGACCTGCGCCACTCGTTCCGTCAAGTCCCGGTTGGCCGTTAACAGCTGTGAATCTGTGAGCAGAAGGCGCACCGCTTTACCGGGCATTCTGGCACGCAGGTACAGGTTGATAGCGCCCTCAATGTCCTTCTGACGAACACGTAATTCAGCGGCTGCCTCATCTTGTCCCGTCTGGTTTAGCCACTTTTGATAATCGAGAGAAAGTTGGTCAATATTCGGCCAAGCTTTTGCGGTAGCTACCTGATGGATTGCAACGGCAAAAAAAGAACGTAGAAAATATGACGAATAGATGAAAGGAAAAGAGAAAATTTGTAATTTATTTGGTATCTTAAAACTTTACCTACGCTAATAAAACTCGGTCGACTGGTTTTAGAAAGGTTATATGGAGCAATTTTTATAATACATATAAGGGAAAATAACTTTTATCCCACAGTCAATACTGGGATATAATCGCTGCTTACTGCATGCGTAGGTGAAGCCAAATGCCAAAATAAATGAAATTTCACCATAGTAGCAGCTTATAAAATTTGAAACAGAAACGATTGCAGAAAAACAGCTCATTTTTCTAGATTCATAAAAAAAACAAGCAATAAAATTCAGTTAGACGATACCTCTTTTCAAAATACAAGCCCATTTAAGATTATAGTGACTTTACTCCATAATATGTTGGCTACATCTCTCAACTCATGCAAAATTTGGCGGAGCATGACAAATCTGCACCATGTACAGCGGAAATTGAGTGAAACTAGTCACAACATCGAACCTCTCCGTGTAGCCAATCAAAGTGTGGCATAAAAAGAACTCAAGAGTATTTTAATTCAGTCTCCCTAGACTGACGGAAGAACCCGCCCTGTCGCCCAACTGGTGGACTGTCGTCACCATGTGGTCCAACGCTTCTGACTGGCACTAGCGGGACACGCTGTCGTAGTCTGCGTTTTTCCCACGTCGAAAAATTTTCGCCTGTAACTTTCCGTTCTGCATACAATACACTACGTGACACGTTTTCTTCTTCCTTAATGCAAGGTTGTGGTATTCTATACGTCAACAAGAAGCCGAATATATATATTCTGTGGTGAATATCTGATTACCAACAAGACAATAATTTTCCTAAAAAATCATGGAAGAATTATACTCCATAAGTATTCGCAAAGTGTTTTCTTGTAACTCATATACTTTATGCTAAAGTGCTACCAATAGGCTAAAGGATTCAGAAGCAAAGTAATATTTATATTAAAATAGTCAGGTTGCTATTCATTGACGCTTTTATCAGAGGAAAGTTAGCAAATTAACGTTGAAACAAGGATTAAGGAGTAGTTAGTACTTGCTGCGCATGAGAAATCCAGTTAAAACCCTATTTAAGAGTTAACTGTCTTTAAGCCCCACTGAAAGTATTATAGATCGTGTTAAACTTATTTAGGGCTATTTAGCCAATTTGAATATTCCAGAT